CAGCAGGAAATTTTTTCTTCTGCCTCAGTGGGATCTGCTGTACCATGTACTGATTCAATGATATGACTGGGTGCTCAGTATCCATTTTTTTAACTTAATAACAAAGAGCATAAAAATAACTGTTAAAACCATCTGTACCTGAGCAGATTGTCATTTATGCAACAATTTGGAGTTTATTTGTATGGAATAATAAGCTCTTTAAGTGCTCCTTATGGATTTGTGGCTCAGTGGGATCTGCTGTACCATGTACTGATTCAATGATATGACTGGGTGCTCAGTATCCATTTTTTTAACTTAATAACAAAGAGCATAAAAATAACTGTTAAAACCATCTGTACCTGAGCAGATTGTCATTTATGCAACAATTTGGAGTTTATTTGTATGGAATAATAAGCTCTTTAAGTGCTCCTTATGGATTTGTGGGGTTTTAGATGAGGTGGGAGTGGACTGTCATGAGGTAGCCTAAGGCTTTGAGTCTTGGCGTTCTGATTTCATTAGCAAGTCTGCAAAGGGCAAAATGTAGCTCATCCATCCTTCCCCTGATTTTATCTCATCCCAGAACAATGAGGTAGCAGAACTAAGCAAAGGTCTGGGCATTTTGTAAACATCATAACTTTTGACATGGTTCTTTCATAATATTTTTTTACTAAAAGGAATGGAATGATGAGAAAAAATAGGTCTCAGTCTCTGAAAATTGTAGATAAGAGGTTGGATTGAGTGAGCTCAAAAATTCCAAGTAACCTCTTAAAAATGCTAATTAAGGAGTCTCTTTAGTTTCTTCTAATATGTATAATTACACAAAGGTATATGTCCTTCAGCTTTCTGGCCTACTGAGTACACTTATTGCCATTAACACCAGCTCCAGGGCTGCCAAGTGCCCTGTTCCCAGCTGCAGTAGCATCTTTCCATCCTGAACCAGTAGCTCTGCTCTCCCATGTTAGCTTCATGCTCCAGGCAGGTTTGGTCTGACCCTGTGCTCATTCCACCTGCTAAGGCACCTGATGTGCCTCCACATCTTGTATTTCTGCAAGCTGTTAATGGTCAGTGCCTGGTGTCATTTGAAATGCAGTATTTTATCTGCTCTCACTGAGCACGTGAAGCCAAAAAGTGAGTATAAGTAATAGATGATCCTGGGGACTAGAAGTGCTTAGAGCCTCCTCTGGAGACAGTGACCAAGAAATGAGTGTTGGAAAGAAAATTCCTAAACTGTTTCTCAAGTGGAAATGGTTGAATCGGTGTCTCCTTTATTTTGTCCAACATAAATTCAGGAATTCTCCATTAGAAAGGACTAGGTTTATTCACTAAATGAATTAACCAAGCTGCATCTCAGAGTGTGCATTTCCTATGCCACAAGAAGGGCATTCAAGAGGCTTTGTGAAAAGAGGATTTCTAAATGAGCTCAGCTTTTCTCAGAGATACTTGTACCAGTCAGCTCTGTGATAGCTCCTGTTATTTTGAAAATTATTCCTGTCGTCCAGAAGAACTTCTCTTTTGAGTTATTGCACTTTTTTTTTTCACTAAGAGCCTGGTCTTCAAGGAAGTAGCCATTGCTTCACCAGAGATGGTAGTTTCTGGTTCAGTACAACTCCCTCACATATTCCATTAGCTCAACATAAACTATTCCCAAAGGCTCATGTTAGTCTTGTAAGAGAAGTAACCCCCATGTAAAACATGCTTTTCCGTAACTATTCCTTCTATTCATAAATAATGGACAAAGGCCTTGTCTCCACTGCTGTGCCAGCTCAGGCTGTAATTCAGTTTTCGCCCTTGCCCTCAACAACATACCCATCACACACAACTCACTGATGCAGTTTAAGGTTTTGAGGCCTGTCAGAAGTTTGTTGGTGCTGCCTGCTTTAAATAACACAGCAGCAGGGATTGAGGTGCAGGCTGGTATTGGGTGCATGTGCATGATCATTTCCGTTTGGATTTGGGTTATGCTGTTGAAGATGGTTCAATTCATACTTCAGAGTGTTCTTGGAGCCTGTGTATAGCAGACCTTTGGGGTAAAACTAAAGGTGTTTCAGGGCATTGCCTAGTACACTCAAAGAGCTAATGACTATTCACTCCACAGGATCAGACTAATGTAGGTTAGTACAAAACAAATCCCCCTGGAAAGTGTGCAGGTGGACGCCAGGTCCTCAGCACCAGCCCTTTCCCTGTACAGATCCACTGTTGTGGAAGGCTGCTCGGTGATGTAACTACAACCTTTAGCACACTGCTGGGGCTGTTAATCTGCTTACAATCATTTTGTGTGCTTGAATGCCGTTGCTGTTATTTACAGTTTCCGTATGTAACTGCTCTCAATTGAGATTAGCTAGCTTAAACAGAATAACTCTAGCGAACACTGGAGAAGGATAGCATCAGTTTACCTCTTTTCCTGCATGAAATAAACGTGTGGAATCTTCCCTCAAGGTTTTCCTGACTTCTCAAGTTGTTAAATCACTTATTTCCATAAGTAACGTGCCTGCTTTAATCAATGCAGTGGGACTTTCTGACAGCGCTGGGACATATTTCACATTCACATCAGAGGAGAGCAAAGCCCAGCAGGATAACATCTATTTTTTTAAAGCATAAGACATTTGGTTTTGCTAAACAGATTGGATGTTCTGATATGAAATTATGAGTGGTTAGACGGCATCCTATCTTTAATTAGGTTGCACAGACTGAGTCATTTTGCAAGCTAGACATTTTAATTTACAATCTACTGCACTGCAGCACTCTTCAGGGCCTTCTGCTATGTAATAAGGTATTCAACTTGCAGCACAGGATTTAAAAATACTGGAGTACTCTCTGTGACTTCACTTGTTTATTTTATATTTTCAATTCTAGTTGCAAATCAAACACGCAGTTACAGAAGCTGAAATTCAGAAGCTGAAGACGAAGGTAAGAATCAATATATAGTTAAAACATGCTGTTTTTTTCCTTGTGCAAAATCAGATCTGAAGACTTGTATCTATATGTGGGTGGAGAAGTCAACATCCTTATTAAAGGCTGATTAGGAATCACAGTGGCTCAGCTTAATCTCATGTTGGTGTATATTCCTTATTCAAAGTTTCAAGTAAAATCTTAAGTGCTGCCATTAAGATAAACTGCCAACTTTTGTAGCTTCAGTTCAACATATATTTTAAGGGGTATCATAATGACTCAATGGCAGATTTCAGGTTTTAAAATTCTAATGTATTTTCTCAGCTTTTAAAGCTATATTTGGATTGAATATTCAAGTCAAAGTTAGTAGGTTTTTTTATTTACCAGTGATGTTAATGCTGTATCCTGTTTATATTGCTTTCCTTTTTTTGATGTTTAAAGAAACCTTATTTGTTAAAAGGTATTTAATAGAAATTATTTTTTATACAGAAAAAAAGTGTTGTTTCATGTAGTTGCAGTTCTCTTTAGAAGATACTCTAGAAAGGAAAAATATTATCAGTTTAAAAGAAAACATTAGCTCACAATCAGTTGTTACTTATTAGATTGAATTTGCTATAGCAATAGAAATGAATTGGGTTTTTTGTACTTGGGTAACCTCTGTGGGAATTCAGCTGATAATTCAGTTGTTCAGTATTACTAGGTTTTATAATGACATCCATCTCTTTGAGTCTCAGTACATTTTAAAGGAAATAAATAGAAGAGAAAGAGAAAATTGTACTTCAGAAAAAGATTTTAGATGATTATTTCTTTCTAGCAGCATTTGCACTCACCGTGTATTTTGCATAGTGTTTGTCAAATCTGCATAAAGTACTGTTGAAAACAAATTCAAAGTACAACTATTTTCGGTAAGGACAATTTCTGTTGTACTGTTTCAGTTCAGAAAGTCTGAAATCCTTCCTTCCTCTGCTTCCCAGTTCCAATCTAGCAATTGGAGCCACACGGTCGATCCCTTGGGATTGTGCCGAGCCCCATTGACTCGATGGCAACAATGTGTGGGTGTGAACATTCATCTCTGCAAATCCATTTGCCAGATTAGGGTTAATGTGCTTTTCTGTGTTGGACCTCTTCACCTCATGTTTTCAATCGAGCTGATGAAAATGTGACTTGTTTAGGTATATTACTAACCAAACTGTAAACAAGTTATTTTTTCTGTGTGTGTATCATCCATGATGCTAGCAGAACTGCCTAGAGCAAGTTAAACAGTTTTGATAAGTAAACAGGGGTGTTAAAGCAGTTTTGTTTTCTGTAAATTCTGGGAGCTAAAACACACAAGCTGTTAAACAACCCTACCCTTATCCATCACCAAACACTGAAACCTGCAGGTAGCTTCAGTTAGGGAATGAGAAGCCTAACACACAAAAATAATCTGGAAATCAAATTCCCTGTCCCCAAAGTAAGAAATGTCATTGTTTTATGAAAGTGTATGAATGCTTTTATAGCACCTGAGCCACATGCACAGAGCAAAATGCATCCCCAGTGCTATCTGATAACCCTGCAGTTTGTCTGAGTACTCCACTATTGACATTTTTAAATGTCAGTCTGTCAAATAGGTTAGTATAACCCGGACAAGCAAAGAAGCTGCACTGGAACACAGAGCAAAAGCTCCACTTTGTTTCATGAGGAAGAATAATGTATCAGCCTGTTTTCTTTGCCCTGGAACACTCTTCACTGCTTCACTGTTCTACCTACTAATTTACTGAGTTTCACTATTCATGTTTGAATTAATCCTAAACTATTAGGCTGCACTTTGCAGCTTTTTATGGACTGCATCTCCTCTCCTTTGTTCAGCTGCAGGCTGCTGAGAATGAGAAGGTGAGGTGGGAATTGGAGAAGACCCAACTCCAGCAGAACATTGAGGAGAATAAGGAAAGGATGATGAAATTAGAGAGTTATTGGATTGAGGCACAAACCCTGTGTCACACGGTGAATGAGCACCTCAAGGAGACGCAAAACCAGTATCAGGCTCTGGAGAAGAAGTATAACAAGGCAAAGAAATTAATCAAGGATTTTCAGCAAAAGTAAGCAGCTACACCAGGCTCAGCATATGACTTAGTGGCCAGATAGGAAACATGTATGTGATATGTTTTGAAATATGAAACCCACTATTAAACCACCTGTAAGGTAAACACTGTTTTTCCACTTTTTATTTAAATGAAAAGCATGGACTCTTTATTATGGAAAAATGTTGCTATTGTTCAATAATTAATTTAGTATTGTTAAACAAAATAATGCTGTAACTAAATAAAGACTTAGTCTGCAGTAGTCCAGGTTGGAATGTTTCAGAATGACTAGATAACTCAATGTGATTGCAAACAACCAAGAGTATTCATAGTAAAGCATTTGATTAGCAAGGTTTGCAGCAATTTATATGGATGTTGTGTCAGCTGGATTCACTCCTGCTGTGAACTAATGTAACATCAAAAAGAATATTGTTTTGTTACATTTTACATTTTATTTTTCTTCTTCTTGTAGATGCCAAGAATGTTTGAGCTGAGTTGAGCTAACTGATGATTACCTGCCCCCCTCTGTTTCATGTGGTCCCCTCTCCCTGATGGCTAGCAAGAATAATAACATCTTAACATTTCTATAACAGCTTTCATTCCCAGAATTTCTTTTTTTTGTTGTTTTTTTTTTGTTTGTTTGGGGTTTTTTGCAGCAGCTTTTTAATTTTCTACTGAACTATGCTCATTTAAAGAAGAAAACTCAAAAATATACAGCAATGTCAAGGGACAACTGGGACTGCAGAACTGAATATCCTGCCCCATTAAAAAGGGGGTTAAATTGCCAAAATGTCATTACCTGTCTTCGAATGTAGGAACTGTTCCAGAACTAGTTTGCATCTTGTGTGCTTTGCATCATTTGTGCTTTCACAAACATCTTTGATATTCAAAATAAAAAGAGATAGGGAAAGTCACTAGAATGAGTTTGGATCACCTTGTGTTGTTATTCTGCTTTATATTAGTGAAAGATCTAGTCAGTTGCTATTAACTATCTCAGACCCCTAAACTCATCTAACAGATTTCCTTACAGCTTACTAGAAAATTTGGTTTGTACCTGAAGACTCACAGATGTCCTTTCTGAGAAGGAGTACAGTCAGACTCTAATAAAAAAGGGATTTTGCTCCATTTCCTACAACAGAGTACAGCATACAGATTATGAAAAAGATAATTTGGTTTAACTGTTTCCATGATCAATTAGGGCAGCTGAGGGTTTTTTCCAGATAAATTGCTCTTACCACTTTTATATTATCACTTAGCATGTTCACTTAGACTAATTACTTAGGGTTTTGTCATAATTGCAGCTTCATACTTCTTACTAAGTTAGTGATAAATTACTTGTTAAGGACAGATTTTTCTGATGCATAGCTTAAGATTTATCCAAACGTTGTATTTTCTGTTTGAATCTAATTGCTTTGATGAGAGCAAATGCATCTCTTTTTTTTCCCTAAGAGAACTTGACTTCATCAAACGTCAGGAAGCTGAAAGAAAGAAAATAGAAGATTTGGAAAAAGCACACCTTGTAGAGGTTCAAGGCTTACAAGCTCGTGTGAGTAGTATTTACTCTTGTATTTGAATAATGAAACAATTCTGTCTGATATTCTGGAAATATAACATATGTGATGGAGAGGGTGTATTGGGTTGTGTGTTATGGATAATAATGTGTTGTATTTCTTTCAGATACAAGATTTGGAAGCAGAAGTTTTCAGGCTAATGAAGCAAAATGGGAGCCAGGTTAACAATAACAACAACATTTTTGAAAGGCAGACATCTTTTGGAGAAGTTTCTAGAGGAGATCCAGTGGAAAATCTAGATACTAAGCAAGTGACCTGCCTGGATGGCTTAAGTCAAGGTTGGTTTGAGTCAAATCATAATTCCTTTGAATCTCACAATCATAGAATGTTAAGGGTTGGAAGGGACCTTAAAGATCATCTAGGCCCAAATCCCCCTGGGCAGGGACATCTCCCACTAGACAGGGTTGCTCAAGGCCCCATCCAGTCTGGTCTTGAACACTGCTGGAGTTGGGACCTCCATAACCTCCCTGGGCAACCTGTTCCAGTGTCTCACCACCCTCACAGTAAATAATTTCTTACTTATATCTAACCTAAATTTCCCCTCTTTCAATTTATACCCATTACTCCTTGTGCTATCACTACAGTTCCTAATGAACAGTCCCTCTCTGGCTCCCCTGTAGCCCCTTCAGATACTGAAAGGCTGCTATGAGATCTCCACGCAACCTTCTCTTCTCCAGGATGAACAGCCATAACTTCCTCAGCCTGTCTTTGTAGGGGAGGTGCTCTAGTTGTCTTGTCAACTTCGTGGCCCTTCTCTGGACTTGCTCCAAGAGGTCCACATCAGATCGGGTCCTTTCTATGTTGAGGGTACCAGAACTGCACGAAGTATTCTAGCTGGAGCCTTACAAGAGCAGAGTAGAGGGGGAGAATCACCTCCTTTGACCTACTGGCAAACTCCTTTCAATGCAGCCCAGGACACAGTTGGCTTTTTGGGCTGCAAGTGCACACTGATGGCTCATGTTGTTTTTCATCAACTGTTACCCCTAAGCACTTATCTGCAGGGGTGTTCTCAATCACTTCTCTGCCCAACATGTAGGTGTGCCTGGTCTTGCCACAACCCAGGTGTAGAACCCTATATGTATGGAAACAAGCATGATTATCATTTAGGATTTAAAAGAAACAATAATGATGGGATGTTGGTATTTTTCCAAAATGCAGTATCTAATTAATGACAGCTGTATCAGGGTTCTACCAAATAATGCCGATATAGAATCCCAGAATAGCTGTACAGTGTATATTCTTTAGGGAATGGAAGTGACTAAGTGCTAATAAAGCAAAGATCATTATTGATTGCTTGAAGCTTTCAGTGGGATGCCACCAACATTTAGGTTCAATTCGATGCTTCTGGTATGTTAATAAAACAGGAGGAAATTGCGTTTTCTCCTATGTTCCTAAATCTGTCCTTAATTACCCAACCACCAAAGATCAAACAAGAACAAAGTTACCAGAATGAGAAAAACAGTGTTAAATCTACCATTTTGAATGGATCTCTGCAGGTTCTAATCCCACCTTGGTGCACAGCATCCAAAGGAACCTTGTAGGTAGCACTCACTATTTCTCAGGATGGAACCTTTTCTGAATAAAATGCAAATTCTTTACTAGCACATTAATTAAAAAAACTTATTCAGCTGTAGCACAGCCTGATTTACAGCGTATGATTTGTAAGACTTTGTTCTACATTACCGAAGAGACCAAACAATTTGTGCCAACACTGAGATGTGGATAGATGCTATCAGCAGGGTGGCTGTAACCTTTACTTGTTTTGCATAAAAAAGATAATTCCCATTTTTCAGGCTGTGCCACTGAAAATATACAGATAACTTCCCCAGTTTTAGTTCTGTAATTGCGAATGGCTCCTCACTGTTCAAGTATATGCAGAATTAAAGCCAGTTTAGGCCCACAGCCTTGGAACAAAATTGTTTGGTGCAGGAGCAATACTTACTCAGCATTTAGTAACACCTGTGAAATCACATGACAGGTGTTGGGATTCTGACAAGGGAGCACAAAACTATCTTCCTGTATAGGTTATAATTCTAAATAAGCTATAATAGTAATTATTTTTCTGGTGAAAAAAATGCAATGCATTATGAAATAAATTCATTTCTAGCAAGCACAGAGGTGTTTTATTGAAATTGATATTTTAGCAGTTATTTCATGTGTAGACACAAACAATATTGCTTTACAGACAAATCAATATGAATTACATTTTTAACAAACTGTGTGTAAAAAAGAGCTAGTCCTGCTGGAATGGTATTAGGAGATATGCAGACCTTGTGGAATTGGTTTCCACAAATCTTCACAAAGCTGTTTCTTTCTATCGAGTGCTTATTGTACTGAAATCTCTGAAGTTCAGAAAAGCACTCAGGATGACAAGAAAGTCTGTATTTCTGCTGTAGAGACTCAGTAAATGTGATAAAACATTTAATACTTAGCAATGCTGTTACACAAACCCTTTCAGTAGTTTGCATCAGGAGAGGAACATGTGTTTCCTTCACCTGACTCACAAAAATCAGGGTCACATGTACTGTTGCAATAATGTCAACACACATCTATGGCTCAAGGAGCTAAAATCCAGGGATTTCTCTATGTAAAATAAATAAGTTAATTGTTAAATTCTTTCTAGAAATCTGAAAATTCTTTGTATAGCATTAAAATTCTGCATGTGCTTCAGAATTTTTAATTGATGCATGTGCATGGAAATTTTCATTTTTAAAGAGCTGCCTTTTATCATTCTCCTGGAGAAACGTGACCAGTGTTAAATACTTGTGAGCATTAGAATAGATGATCTGTGAATTTAAATGCCCACATTTAACCACCTGAATACAAACACAAATTATTTGGTAGGAAAAAGAGACGATGGACAGTGATTTTTTTTTTGAAAGCAGAAAAAGCGTAGTTAGACCTTAGATTCCAGGTTGGATTTGTGTTTTTAACAAGAGAAAAAGACAAGCTCTTTTTAAAAACAAAGAGATCCCTTAATGTGCTGTACCAGTCTTTGAGTTCCATATACCTTTTCCAGTGAATTCTGTATCAGTCTCTGAAGTCTGTGTCAGACTGTAGTGCAGTGATACTTGCTCTGCAGACAAAGAGCCTAGGTCTCCATGTCACTTTTGTATAAACCTTTTAAGAAACAGACTTGACATCAACACATATTTGCAGAGGAGCTGTAAAGGGCAGGGGAGATGTCCACAATGTTTTGGAGGGTGAGCAGAGTCCCTCTGGGTGCTCTATTGTACATGCTGCCTTTGTGATAGCTACCTCACTGACATTCACACAGGTGCTCCAATCTCTTTTCTGGCTCTTGTTTGGCCAGTATAGCACATGCTTCTTGATCAAGCCTCTGCATTACGGTCCTGGGATGGCACTGCATGCCCACAGGCACATTCATTAAGTTTTGTTCAGAGGTCTGCAGGTCTGTCTTCCCTCAAAAAAATTAGGTTATATAAAAATAGAGTATTTTAAGTAAAATTATATTAAGTATGGTTTTGCTTCAGTGTGATCTGAGGTGCTTATTACATTCTTGCATGGTAATAGATGTGGGAAGAAGTAATAGATGCAGCTTGGTGGTTGCAAACACCCAAGCACAACTGTTCCTGACGCTGCCAGTGCTCTGGCCATGTTTAGCATCATGCCAGACTGCACGACTCCTCAGGCTGTAACATAACCTCATACTGAGCTTGAGGGACTGCCAGTAACATCAGTGGAAGTTAAGAAATCGAAACCTTTATGGCCGACAGAGCTCTTCTTTTGCTTTGCCAGGGAATACTAGAAACCTGAGGATTGTGTTTCTTTTACAAATACATGATTTATTCTGAGAGTCCAGAAAAATAGATACAGTGCATTGTAGCTTTCTGATTTAGTGGTCATGAGCTGTGTCTGCAGTGGAGAATCATGCTATTTCCTGGAAGGCTTGAAATCTAAACAGTTCAGTGCTGAGGCCAACTTTGACAGTATTTGCTCATCTCTGTGCAAGTGCCTGTTCAGGCCACTTTGCAACTGTACGTTCCGGGTGCCTTAGGATACCCAGGGATGCATCTATTCACAGAAGGAGATTTTGAAGTCTATCAGCCTGTATAATGGAAAAACAGTGGGAGGACAAGAGAGCTCTTTCCTGCTCCACAGTGGTACTGAAATAATTCAGATGGATGACCATCAGAGTCAAGTGGTTGAATGCCTGATGAAAGAAAGTCTAATTACATTGTTTCTGAGAACAAAATTAATCCTTCTTATGTGAGAGATTTGCCAGACTCCCTAGCACGTTGGGAGATTCCTAGAGAAACATGTGAGATGTGTGTTTGTACTGGGAGCTATGAGGGCTGGCCAGTCTGCAGAAGAGGGAATTGGGGCTGGAGGTAACAGCACATGGAGCTGGGGCAGATACCACCCGACAGTACCCCAGTTCACTGCGACAAAGCATAACGAGCAGGGCAGGACCAGTAATGGAAACCAGTAATGGATTCCAGTCAAGTTCATGGTGGTGAGGGAGGTCTGAGGGCAAGAAGGGAAGTCTATGGCTTGGGTCCAGGGCCACAAGACCTGAGGATGAGAGCCCAGCTTAAATGCATCTGTGATATGGAAGGAGGGAAGCCCCTACTGATGCTGTGCAAGCTGCTCTTTGCAGCAGGCTGAACCCCAGGCAGTGAGGTACCTGTAGCACAGCACAGAGCTGCCATCGAGTGTGGGCAGCCCAGCTCTGGGGTGGAGGAAGCAGGAAGCTCCAGGCCCAGATGGTATTTTGCTTTAACAGGGCCAATATGACCACTTCTGTGACTAGAGTTTGCAGTGCTGTGTTGATAGTTTGCATAATTTCAGCGATGAAAGGAAGGGATGTATGGAAGTGTGTACATCTGAAATAACAAATATAAGCAGTTCAAGCCATGACAATGTGTAGTTATCCTCTGGAGTACTTAGGCAGAAGCATAATTACGAGTCAGACAAGGCTAATTATTCTGTAGTATCATGTAGATGTAAAATTTTACACAAAGAAAAGCAAGGCATGACACTAGAAGTCTTTGCAATGCTTTACGACAACATATACTTGCAAATAAAAAAGTTAGTTTGGGTGAGTCTTACTCAGTTACATACTGGTGTGCTAACTCAGCATGTGGCTCTGATTTCAAGAGACAGTTTGAGTTGAACTGACATATCCTTGCTGTTGAAGTGGCAGATCCCACACCATCCTTGCCTTTGTCCATCCACCTGGTTCTGCTTCTTCCATTGCCCTCTTCCTACGCTTACACACTTCTGTGCACATACTGATTCACTGACACAACAGAAATCTGACCAAGAGGGGCAGAGGTTGGATTATCATACTAAAATTGGATAGTCTCTGCTTGGTCAGTCTTTTGAATCAGCAAGCTACAGTCCAAATCCTGAGGGACTCGGAGCCAGAGGTTGGGGGCAGCAGGAGGAACAGCAAGAGCTCTCAGTTTTGGTGGTGGTGTTGGTAAATCACTGAGTCATTTCTGCCCTTTGTGAAGTCACATTCTCAGAGATTGACAGTCAGGGTGCCGTAAGAAAAATTTCTGCTTTCCTCAAGTTGTTCAGAGTTTCTTCACTGGCTTCACTGAGTCCAAGATATCTCCATTTATATTTGTTTAAAGCAAAAATATCTTTAAATCAGCTTCTAATTAGTATGTTATGAATGCAGTGCTTAAACAAGTAAATAAACCTAACAGATTCTGGTTTGATTTGTACTGTGAGGATTGAAAAAAATACTTAAACCATAAAGAATCTTCTCTGGTGTAAAATAGCAAAAACGTATTTTAAACTGTTTTATCTTACTGCAGCTTTGTAAGATGGTACATTTACTGCAATAGTCAGATTTCATTTGAGTGGATGACAGATAGCTAAGACAAATGCAGCTATGTTAGAGCTATTTGTAGAGGCAAGGCATGTATGAAGTGTTGTTTGTTATACTGTGCTCACGAGACATTCAGGAATAGTGTGTGGCTTTGAACCTAAGCAGGTAAGATGGTTTCATAGTTTTTATATGAAATATTTCTCCCATTTTCATGTAGCACGTAATGGTGTTTATGCCCCAGTGGAGGAGAACTCTCTGCAGGCCCAGCATGTGCATGTTCCTCTGAAGAAAACTGAAGTGGACCTACTTTCTGGGCTAGTATAGCTGGGTTTGTGTGGTCCTTCATGTAACAGTGGGAATAATTTGTTGAATTCTTAAGTTTCTGCCGTTGATTCTTTTATAGATAAACTTGTTTATGCAAATAACTTTTTTTTCTATGGGTATTTTAACAGTTATGAAGATACAGGTACAAGTAAAACATGTCTTTCCTAACCTAGATGATTTCCTGACCTCTATGATTCTTGGCAAAGTACACGTACTTGCAATGGCAGGTACTCTGTTGGGAAAAATTAGTGAAAGATTCTTCTGGTCCATAGCTTCAAATCATGTTTCCATACAGATTTCAATGAAGCAGTGCCAGAAACGGAGAGACTGGACTCCAAAGCTCTGAAGACTCGAGCTCAGCTCTCAGTGAAGAACAAGCGGCAGAGACCTTCCAGAACAAGGCTGTATGATAGCATCAGTTCAACTGATGGAGAGGACAGCCTTGAACGAAAGGTGAGAAGGACTCTATCTACCCTCTCTTTCAGGCTTCCTATGGAGTGCTAGATTGCCCCTGTAATTCATTTCATCCTCTATGTTTCATTGTAGCACAGGCAGTATTAATTCCTCTGTGGCCAGTCTGCTGTGAATGTCCTTGAGTAATGTGCGAGTCCAGTCCGGTCTCCTTTTGAGTCAGCACACCTGGTTTTTTGGTTTTATTGTGTTTTAACTGGAATCCTGGTCTTTCTGATTTACATGTGCTTTAAAATGCAGAGTGGGTCCTTTCATTTATGCAGGAGGTGAAAGGAGCTTGAATTGTGCATTTCTCTATTTGTCAGTTTGTTAACACAATTGATATGATATTCGCTCATTGTTTTGTCCTATTCTGATTTCCATCTGAAAGCAAATACCAATAAATAACACTGTGTGTGGTATCAAAGGGTAATGCCATGAATTACTAGAGTTTCATACAAATAGAAAGCTAAATAATGAATAAAAGATTTGCATGTTCAAAGTAAATCTTGCTCTGTTTGCTTACTAAGTGGTATAACTTGCTTTATAATCTCTTATACCAACAGCCATCACACAGTTACAGTAGTCCCATGCACATTTCAAAATCACCACTGCCCTTATGCATGAGAGCATCCTCACCAGCATCAGATTCTGGTGCTTCCTCCCTCTCCCCCGTGGCTAGCAGTTCAGCAATCTCACTTGACAACCTAACTGAAAACCAAGAAGAAGGACAGCACCACAAAGGAGGTGTTCTTTCCCCGTATGCTCAGGGAGACACTCCACTTTCCTCTCCTTCAAAATCTGGGCACAGCTCTGAAGCATCTCCTTTGCATCACCCAGCTGGCAGGAATATTTTACAGGATAAAGGTATTACTATCTTTTTTACCATAAATTGATGCATCACTTTGCTCACATCTATTTGATGGCCTTTTGTTGTGTAGTAGGACCTTAGCAACTCTAGAAGGTTATGATTTCAGAACTTCTTTTGCCTATGTGGAAGCAAAGAAATTACAAATGACCTTGTATGGTGGTATTAGAAGAGGACAAAGTTTAAAATGGGATCAGGAACTGCTTACTTTATTGTTTTTTCCCTTTCTTGGAACTCAGTGAGAAGAACAGGGAAGTTGCCTTTAAGAATAACTTGTATTTTGTTTTTAAAAAAAACAACATTATTGGACCTTGGGACATCTCTGTATTAGAAACATGCTTAACACAATGTACTTACTCAAATAATGTGATTTTGGCACTGTTAGAGGATTATTTTGGAGGGAGGGGAAAGGAGTGTAAAGCAAGAACAACAGATTGTAGCTTTTAATTGCTGAGAGACAGCATAGTCCAGATTTAACAAGAGGTTAGTGTCTGGAGACTTGTCATTTACAGAAGAAAACATCAAGTAATTTGTTGGGGAGGTTGGCCTCATTGGTAGTTATTTAATTCAGTCTTTAAATGCTAGCTAGATAAGACAGGAGGCAATCATGTGCAGCTCAGGCACACATCTCAGATACCAGTTTATTAGATGAATTAACAATATGATATGGCACAGAATACTGAGCTTTCCTTTTCAGATAAATTTGAAGTCAGAATTAGCATTTTACACAACTTGGGATTTCTTTGCTATGCACCTTGCATTCTCAGACTGTCACATAATCTTACATGATAAAAATTGTTTATAAGTGGGGGCTGTGGGAGTAGGTCTAGATAGGTTCAATTTGTTGAAGATTTGTGTTTGTGTGTCTGAAAAGACTTGCCATTGATTTTAAATCTATTTTTTCTTCATCTTTATACAGGGCTTTCACACAGATTCATAAAAGACAGCGTAGTGAAACTTTGCTCCATTTGGGATAGGTTAATATATGCTAACATTTTTACATGGGTTCTGAAATTGCTAGTTTAACTGGTTAGTTTCTAATTGTATAATTGTTAATGATTCAAAGTTAAATGCCATATTTGCGTTTCGCAAGTGGAAATAAGCCACGTAAGAATGCGGCTTTGCAAACTCACACTTCAGCTTCAGTGTACAATTGGTTTATCAGGGGAGTCCTAAATCTTGCATTTCCAACTGATGTATGAAAAATACCTTGACAAAAAATACAGTGGAGACTAGCCTTATAGTGTAAGGAATAGGGTATTACACTCCACCCACTGTGTCACTTTTTCCAGCTTAGGTTTGAAAAATAATCTCTGTCTAAATATTGGTGTCACCCCTTCCCCACTGTGACCACTAGGTAAACAACTAGTGCTTCTGGGTGTATCCAGGTTCTGATGAGTAGTGCATTAAAGTTAACCAGAGCAATTTTGTTTTAAATGGAAAAATTGCATTTAAGAAGTACTGCAAAAAAAAAAAAAAAGAAACATACTAAACCAGTTGTTTGGCAACAAGTGTTGCAGCAATACTATTTTAATTGATTGTTAATTTGGCTGTCAGACTCTTACAGCTCAGAAAATAAAAAGAGACATTGTATTTGTTCTGTGTGTTCAGGTGGGGTTTTTTTGAGAGATGGAAAAAGAGCACATCTGTGCACACTTGTGAGTCCATTGATTAATCTCTCATTAGCAGAAGTGAGTATTTGCAGATCCTGCAGTGCTGTGGGAAGAGCTGAAGTGTCATCAGATCAGTTTCATTGCAAAATGATGAGGTTTTTTTGCTTGTTCATCTTTTAGTCACAGCTTCTTTGTGTATATGTATGATGAATTTATTTTCTTCGGTTCTGCCTGGTTTGTGCAAGGGCATCCTTTGATAAGGCAGCGAGGTGACCCCTGGGGGCAGTACTCACTGATGTGAGGTTGGCTGCAACTGGTTGGTGACCTTGGGGAAGAAAGTTAGGTCCATTCTCCCTTCACAGCCATCAGCCACAGATTACTTATACCAGCTTGAGGCTTAAAGTGATGAATTAAACAGCTTCTGTGTGATTTATTCTGAGGAACTGGCTTTCTTTTACCCCCTCTGAAGAACTACAAGGAGTCAAGGATGTAGCATCCATGCAGGGTGGCCACGCAGTCCCCTCCTGCCCACGCAGGGCACCTGCAGGTCTGGTTCATGGTCAGGCCCACATATCCAGAGTTCTGTACCTCCACATGTGCAAGACCCTGTAGGTTCAGATCTACTCTGCCACTGAAGCTGGTTTTGAGACCTATCCCATCCGTTTGCCCCTCTGTCCCATAGCCAGCACAAATATTTTCCCCAGCAAGTCATAATTGTTCAGAGGGCCCTGGCTGGCCCAAGCTGCATGGGAGTGGGAGTACAGTGATACAAGAGCTAGAATAGAAATTTGCTATACTAGGTAGCTGCTACATGTCCCTACTGAACTCTCCAGATTGTCTTTTCTGCTACAGCAGCAAAACCTCCATCTACTAAATGCTTTCATTATTTGCCCAGCACAAAAGCAGTGTACCTTATAGTTTCATGGACTTTAGTTAAAAAGTTTCTCAGAAGAACCCCACTGCCTCTTGTCCCCCAGGTCCCACTTGCCTGTGAATAGCTAGTGTGAAAAGAAACACTGCAACTTTTATTCTTGAAAGTGGCAATTTGGAGAGTGGTTAAATGAGAAGTGTGCATTAAAGGTGATAGAGGAACCATAAGAGGAGACAGGAGAAGAGTGTGCACAGTGTAGGGTTGATGCAGAGTGTGCATTGCCTACAGTTCTCCTTGACCTTTCTGAGGAATGGATTTCTCCAAAGGATACTTCACTTTGCTTTTGTCATTCTTCATGTGACTTTTTTTTTGTTTGCTTTTTTGGCATGAGATTACTTGTCAGTAGTTCTTGAATTTTTTTATTCTTTTTTTAACATAAGGACTTGTGTTGGTAGGAATCATATGGCTTTTGGAGTGGGTATTGCAAGAGGCTTATTTTCCTGCTTTTCAAAGGATTTAAGAGCCAGTGGCACATTAGATTTTTTACTGGAACAAAAACCTGGGCAGATATTATTCACAGAGCAATGCACAAAGTTCTATACACATAGTTGACTGTCCTATGACAGTGCTGTGGTATTTTGTGTTAATTCTGAGGGCTTAATTTATGTCAGACAGTAGGAGAAATCCACAAACCCTGCAGTGCTCTCAGTTAAAAGTTACTGCATGTCTGAGATTAAATTGTAAAAGCCACCAAACCACAAGTGACATAAATGACTGACCTTCATTTGCTTCCTCTTGAGTATTTGGGGGCACTCTTTATGTTTAAGAGTCACTGTGTCTGAATTTTTAAACTACTGTGTGTTTTCTTTTAGTTCCATATAGATTTCACAGGATGTTTTCCAGACTCAGATTCATTGTTTTGGTTTTATAGGTACTGCAGACTGTTTCCTCTTTAGGCTTTAGCAATGTTTGTAGAAGAGATCAAAAATTGATAGATATCTCAGGGCAAATTTATTAACTAAGCTACTTTTAATGCTTTTTTTTTTTTTTTAAATTCAGAATGGTTAGATTTCAAGTTAAATGTTTAGTTTGACAAAATGTTCAGGCTAAACAGATTAGCTATTTTGTAGCATGTCCATCATAAAAGATACCCCTGGCTCCAGATTTAAAGGAAGCATTTTAGGAGTCATTTTGGAAGTAAAGCATACATACAAAATGAATTCTGCAAAAGGAAGCTTAAGCAGCTTCTGCTGAGTTTAGAAATGGATTCACTGTAATGTTTACCTGTAAACCTTTTGTGTTGTTTGATTTATTACATATTCATTAAAACTCAACCAAAATTTACTTTTCATTTTCTTCAATTAAAAAAAGGTTCCTTCATGTGTATTTTCAAATTCTGAAAGTGTTGATTTATATTTATTCTTCTTCACACCACCTTCTTAAAAATGAGAAGAATTCACCTAATTAAATTGTGTACTCACACACAACTACGCGTATGCATATTTAATTGCAAAAAGATACACAAAGTGTTCTGGATGGAAAAGTAGCAATTAAGATTAATAATGTACATTCTTCCATGTACAAATGTATCCTAGATGGTGCCACATGTGCTCAGGCAGCAAGAACATCTAGCCCTACTATAGGGCATACA